TAAAAAAAAAAGAAATAAAAAAGCAGAGATTTCGCAGAAGGTGACTTTACTCCAAAAGCTGGCAGATAGGAAAATGGCCAGGCTCATGCCTCAAAGAAACCATTTCAAAGTTTTAGGTTGTGGATAGGGGATTTTTTATTTTTATTTTTTGAGTTGGAGTCTCACTCTGTCACCCAGACTAGAGTGTAGTGGCCGCTCCCAGCCACTGCAGCCTCGACCTGATGGGCTCCAGCGATCCTTCCACCTCAGCCTTCCAAGTAGTGGGAACTACAGGCGCGTGCTACCACGTCAGCTAATTTTTGACTTATTGTAGAGATGAGGTCTCGCCAAGTTGCCCAGGTGGGTCTTGAACCCGCGGACTCCGGCAATCCATTCACCTCAGCCTCCCAAAGGCGCAAGATTACAGGCTGAGCCACCGAGCCCGGTTAGAGATTTTATTTTATTTTTTATTCTTTTGAGTTGGAGTCTCACTCTATCACTCAGGCTGGAATACAGTGGCACATTCCCGGCCACCGCAGCCTCAACCTGCTGGACTCTGGTGATCCTTCTGCCTCAGCCTTCCAAGTAGCCAGAACTACAGGCACACGCTACCACACCTGGCTAATTTTTTATTTTATGTAGAGACAAGGTCTCGCCAAGTTGCCCGAGTGGGTCTCAAACCCGTGGGCTCAGGCAATCCACTCATCTCGGCCTCCCGAAGTGCTGGGATTACAGGCTGAGCCAACGAGCCCAGCCATGCCATACTTCTCTTTAAGCTCTGGCCCCCTCTCCAATTTGGGGGAAGTGAATCCCCTTTTCTCTGTCCAATCCAATGGAACGAGGAGTATCTAGGAGCAAGACACATAGCACATGGAACAGATCTTGCTTTGATGATTACCTTGAAGAGTTGACCACTTGGAGAGCTGGCCGATGCCCTGATTGTGGTCAAGTTGTAGACTAAGCGCCTTCAGGTGACCTCTAAACAGTGGAGAATTTTGCTGTGTGGAGTATCCATACTGTTATTCCAAAGTCAGCCTCCGAAATAGTCTCTGGAATTTCTCAAGCATGTACACAATTAGATCAAAAGGGAAAAAAATCCTTGAAGTGTAGACTGAGATAAAAAGGCTTAAAACCATTCTCAAAACATGAAATGTAAATTCTTGGGGAATTTACAAAGCCAGGAGATTGAAGTTAATCTGGGTAGGAGTTAAGTTTGGTTTTGTTTTATTGTTGCTCTATGTTCAGTGGATCATAGAATTCAAATTCCTTTAACAATGGGCTCATGTAAACTTGTGCTTGAGAGTGAACCAGGATGCTCAGGGTGGGGCTTTCTCAACATTCTCACCATCCTCATGGCAAACACCTGCATTGTATCTGTAGTTGGTCTTGTCTGGGAGTTTGATCCCCATCCTTCAGTGATAACCAACCTCTGCTTGGTATGAGCTACAGGATTCTGAGCCCAAGAGTTTCCTACCTTGCTCTGGGGGTACAAGAATTTTGTTTCTATCTTTTGCCTGCAGCAGTGAATTTGTGCCTGCCCTTTTTTAGAAGTGAGAGGATTCTCTCTCCTTTTTTAGATATGAATTTGGATTACTGGGTTTTGTCTCTACCCACCCCTGGCAGCAATGGATCCTTGTCCTTGCCCTGAAAGAGAGAATTTGCTGCTGTTGCATTCTTGGAGAGAAGCACCTAGGGAAAGCATTTGTGCAAATTCCCCAGAAGCTGAATGCTTGCTCCAAGGAGAGGTCTCTCTCCAGTCTCTTTGCCAGTACCTATTTTTCTTGTGAAGAAAGATTTCTGGTTTATAAAAAAGCGTTTATGGGTTGGATGTGGTGGCTCACGCCTATAATCCCAAAACTCTGGGAGACTGAGGCAGGAGAATGGCTTCAGCTCAGGAGTTTGAGAACAGCCTCGGCAACACAGCGAGACCTCATCTCTACAAAAAATTTGCCAGGTGTGGTGGCATACACCTTTAGTACCAACTACTACTCTGGAGGCTGAGGCAGAAGAATTGCCTGAGCTTAGGAGGTCAAGGCTGTGGTGAGCCATGATCATGCCACTCCACTCCAGCCTGGGCAACAGAGTGAGGCCCCAACTCAAACAAACAAAAAACAAAAAAAGGGGTTTATGAATGTGAGTTCCCTTTGCATCTGAGGTCCCCAGCTACTCCAAACTGACCTGCTAACCCACACTTCAAGACTTCGTTAAAATTTTAGCTGATTTTCTGTTGCCAACTGGTATGGCAGCCACCTCTTTCTCCTGTGCTCTGCCAAAGGTGAGAGTTTTTGTATTCTGTCTCTCTTTGAAGAGGTTTGTCTCTTTGAGACTTGGTTACTTGGTTGCCTTGCCACCTCAGCTCTTTAATGAGTTCAAGAGAAGATACACTCTTGTTGCCCAAGTTGGAGTGTAGTGGCACGCTCACGGTCACTGCAACCTCCACCTGCTGGACTTAGGCAATCCTTCTACGTCAGCCTTGCAAGTAGCTGGAATTACAGACGCACGCCACCACATCTGGCTAGTTTTTGTGATTTATTGTAGAGATGAGGTCTCACCAAGTTGCCCAGGCTGGTCTCGAACCAGAGGGCTCAGGCAATCCTCTTGCCTCAGCCTCCCAAAGTGCTGGGAGTACAGGCTGAGCCACCGCGACCAACTGAGAAGATGCAATTTTTAAAGATTATCCAGCCTTTCCTCATTAATATGCTGGGAGTGGCAGTCTCTGTAGCTTTCTACATTCTTTTCTTTTTTGGCCAAACTTTTTTATTAGTATTCTGTAGGTGTTTAACACACACCTAGGTGGTCTTATTGGGGAAGGGAAAAGGGGAGGTTCTTGCAGATTCCCAAGGAAATGTCAGAAAGGCAAAATATGGCCAGCATTATCCATTTGCTTTTTTGGGTTTACTTGGTGAATAGCACTTTCCTTACATAGGCATCTGATCTCAGGTTTTTCATACTGAGAACATTGAGATTTCAGTTTGAAGACACCCTGAAATCCTAAGAGTAGCATACCCCAAC